GTTAAAACCTCTTCAGCAGCTTACCTTAATCCAGCGCCGGGCTGGTGACCTCTCCTCCCCTCCGACGTCAGGTCCTGAAACTGCTATGTTTGCATCTTAAGGGTTAAAACCTGAGGGACATTGCACCCAGACCACTTCATTGAGCTTAAGTTGTCTGGGTGACTATAGTGTCCCTTTAATATTTGGTTTAACTTCAATGATTATTCAAACATTTTGCTGTTTGGATTGAGATAAATTACCACTATCCTGGTTTCTATTAGAAATACAAAAAGGCAAATAAATCCCAACTAAAATAATATTCACTTGTGCATCAGAAAAAAGATAAACAAATATTAAATCTTGCATTAAAGTTCCTATTTACCTCAATAAGTTATTGCTAATAATGGTCATTTCAACATTTATGTATTTTGTGCATTCACGACATAAACTTTGTTTGTTCATTTTTCTTTTAGGTAATCCGCTGCCTTGACTTGGATGAAGTTTTAAAATGAAGAAATACATCCTGTGCTTTAAAAGAAAGTTTTTTTTGCTTTGCAAGATGTAACGGCACCGTCCTAACGTTGTCAATGCAATAATACACTATTGTAACTTTAGACACCATAAAGAACAGTAAACACCACTTGTGCTGATCAATGGGAAAATAAGTTTGCATTGAAAGCATCTACATTTTCAGAGATCCCCTTTCCAAAAAATATGGTTCACTGGATGTTTATGCTGGAATAAATTTTGTATATGTATAGCAGCAGTATAGTTGGGCTGATGCGGGTGGTGGCTGATCGGATTGCAGGCAGTGAGCTAGTGGAACACATGCCTAGGCAGTGTATGCATTTCACAGCGTGATGAATGACGTTCTGAGCATGCGCAAATGGATATTACAATTAGGTGCCAAATTGAAATGGTCTAAAGGTATTTGAAGGCTGTGACCTGTCTAGAAGCCAGGGTGCTTGTCAGAGCAAGAACCATGTAGGGAGAGATCAATAATTGGTTCTTCTGATTATTGGAGCTGGTACTCTGCATATTTCTGATCATAGGTTAAGGCCTTTTACTTTAACCAACCTCTACCAGTCACCACGCCGTTTAAAGCCAATGGGGTAATATGTTGCGACCTCACAACAACCATCCCTGTGGTACCCCCATGTGGAACTCATCTAAAGGCAGGGGGTTGAGACAGTCAATAGTCTACTCTATTGTACTGACCTATCTGACTGGGAGTAATAAGAGTGTGATTGCTGCCAGCATGTTCAGTTAATGCCAGATTTCAGCAGTTATCGGCAATTGTTCCGAAAGGCAACCTCATTTCATTATTTGGAAAATTATAGAGTTAAGAATACAAACCTTTTTTTTTAGTGCTAAAGTGTCCCCGTCCCTAGTTTTACAGGTGTGCCCTTCCTCCCCACACCCTCATGTTGGCTGATTAAAGGATTGAATAAAAACTTTAACTTTCCTTTTCGAGCCCTGTGCGTCCTAGCCAGGAGTCCCTTACGGAAACAGGATTTCTTATTGTAGAGCTAAATAAGTTCATCAGAGATGTCAAAAAGTGACGGAAGATGGTGAAAACTGAAGTAATTAAAGGGAAAGTCACCTGATGAGCATTATGAAAAAAGACTGGTTAAACCCTGGAAAAAAGCGTGTTTATATCTAAACAGTTCAAATGGGTTTTCAAACTGCTGAATGCGGAGACCTAGCAAAAGTGGACATATCCATAGCGCAGCTGTCACAAAATAAAAAAGTCACAATTTTAATTGCAGATGCTCTGATTGCAAGTCATCTGTGGACAGAGGTGAGAACATCTAGATACAGTCTTTGGAAAGCAATCCTTCAGGAAATTGCACAGAAGATCTGATGCTTCTATTCGAAAATATTAAATTGGCTTATGATTTTCTGTGTGAAATGACTGATTAATCCCTTAAACTAGATTTAAAAATGCCTCATCCAAGCAAGAGAAATGTAGGAAAATGTGGTACTAAAATGAAAGTTGAAGGAAGGCTACATAAAATTTGCACATCACTGGAGACACATAACTCAAAACTTGTGAGTTTCAGACACAATCAGATGTGGGTACAAGATAAGATATGTGAATGTGTCTGCCTCTTACTTCCTCAGTTCCACTTATGTTTCCCATTCAAAAGAACAAACCTTTTTTTTCTTCAGAAACTATGACATTTCTTCTAAAAGGAGTTATAGAAAAGATGTCCCAACCGTTCCATGAGATCTATTCCACATTGTTTTTTGTGGAAACAGACAGGACCTTCTGACCAGTACTAGACCTCAAAGGAGTGAATCAATGCATAGCATATCAGAGGTTCAGAATAGAAACAATCTTATCAGTGACACATATCCTACAAAAAGGAGATGTAAAGACAACCTTAGATTTGAAAGACACATATCTGCATGTTCCCCTGACTGCAGCATCCCAAAAATTCATTAGATTTGCCATCTAAGGGGAAAAAAATCCAACCTGTTACCAGTCACAAGGATTTAATTTTTTGGACCTTGAGATGGAATCTTAGAACCTCAGTTTATGTCTGTCCATTCAAAAAAAGACAAAAGATTAAGAAAACAATAAAGGTCATTCAATGAAAATCCAGATTGGACCATAAGAAAAGTGATTAGTAGAGCAGGGTTTCTTAAGGACACTATTTCAGCAGTCAAGTAATCCAGAGTACATATTCGGTACCCTGGACAATCAACATTCATGCTTTGTGTTATGCTTAGTTCTCCGTACAGAGAACGAGAGCAGAAGAGAGGTGTGCATCAATCTTTATAATAGCAATGTGAATTAATACAGCTTTAAAGACAAGCCTTTACAAACTGGACTTTACCGATTGACAAAGCCCCATGAACATAGCAAGATTTCCCACCCCTGTGCGGTGGGTGGGGGCCATAAATTACAATGGGGGAACCTACTGTCCTCCCCCCGGCCCCCACCCTTGAGTGGTGGGTGGGGGCCATAAAGATAATGAGGGGGGGACCTACTGTCCTCCCCCCACCGGCCCCCACCACTGGGCAGCGGGTGAGGGCCATAAAGGTAATGGGGGGACCTACTGTCCTCCTCCACCGGCCCCCATATCTGGGCAGTGGGTGGGGGCCATAAAGATAATGAGGGGATGACCTACTGTCCTCCCCCCGCCACTGGGCGGCACTGCCGTAGAGAAAAAATAAATAAATTATATATATATTTTGAAAACATAACTTTTAATAGTGAACCAATTAAAAGGTGATATGACTATAAAAATAAATCTAATTAATTTAAAGAGACCTCAATATACCAAAAGGGAATATAGAGAAATAAAAATAGACAGATAGGTGATGGTAATTTATAGGAAATTGTCCAAATTCACATTAGGTATACAGTATACAGTAATGTAAGGAATTATGTAAAGAATTGTATACATATTTAACAGACAAACCTATGTTGATACAATTTGACAAAAGCTAGGAGGATATTATCTGTCCGCACCAAACATCTTATGTATCATTTTATAGTTAGCTGCTATACACTCTTTCTTGTACAGGCAGTTGAAATAGTATAAATAACTAGCAAGCTACAGGTAGAAGGAAGTCACAGACAGTTGGAATGGTAGAAGTATCTAGATATCTACGGGTATAAGGAGGCAGGTGTAGTAGAAATATCTACAATATACCGTAGACAGTTACGATATACCTAATGTGAATTAATTACAATTTTCTCAGATTGTGTGCTTCAAATTTTAGGTTAACATTTTTGTTCTAATTTTATAGAGGCATATCTGTTCCCATCCTAATATAAATCTAAAGTGTATTACACTCAGTCATAGTCATTTGAGGGCATATATTATAGACATCAAAACAACTTTAGCTTAACCAAGTTTGGGTGTATAAATAATGCCTGTGCATTCTCAATCCTCAATTCTCTGTTATTTAGGAGTTAAATCACTTTTGTTTCTGTGACTCACACAGCCTGCATGATTTTTTTTTTCATTTTTCAATCAGATGTTAACTTGCTTTAGAAGTTATCGCCTGCTTTGTAAATTGAACTTTAATTACACAGACTCAAGAAGGCTATTAACATAGCAGGAGATAAGAAATTCTAGATTAAACAGCCTGTACAATTCAGGAACATAAAATTATTAGGTTTTTTTTCCAGGAAGTGTTTAGGAAGGCTATGTAAGTCACTTGCACAGCTCCCTCGTGCACCGCTTAATGATGCTGGGAGTCGGACTGACCTTATATTCCAGCTCCCGGCATCACTAAGCAGCGTGCGAGGGAGCTGAGCAGGAAATGCTCAGACTACAGCACTCCCTCCCCGCCCGACCGCAATGTATGCTGCCGCCAGCCTCGGGGTGGCCCAAAGGTGGCTAGCCGGCTAGCTCTTGGGTCCCCCAGTACACAAGGCTCACAAGGCATCTGCCTTGGTGTTTGGGGGTGGCTTTTAATGCCGCCCCCTGCAAAGTGCCGCCCAAGGCAAATGCCTTGTTAGCCTCATGGTACATACATCATTGGACTTGCAGGTAGGTGTGACTAGCGCTGCATAAACAAACTGTGAAATGGCAGAGAAGATACTAAAGTTGTATTGGGGACTATAGTGTCCCTTTGAATATATAAATAACATGTCCATCTTGAGCAATACATAATTTATAGATATGAATACATGAAGTCCATTTCTAACAGAAAATTATTTTGGGGTGTGTCAATGATGGCTTCAGATAACACTATACATCGTTACAGCACGCTATTTTTAAATCATTCAGAAAATAAAAATCTAAAGGAAGATAATTTTAACCCCTTAACGCCG